AGCCCCAGCCTGCCGCCCCAGCACCCCAGGCTTCCTGCTGTGGTCCAAGTCTTTCCTCCAAGGCAGGCCTGAGTGTTTGATCCAGTCACAGCTGGGAAGGAAAACAACAACACAGGTTGTCAGGGAAAAAGTAAGAGTCCACCCGGCCTGGGCCACGCAGACAGAGCGCCTGTTTCCTTGATCCTCCCCTCCCCCCATGTCCCCAGCCCTCAGCCACGCAGGCTGCCCAGGACTCACCATCAATTACAAGTGGATGTCAAATACGCCATCCTCCACGGCCTGCACCTCCTCCTCTCTGATCTCTGCAGGGAAGTGGGCGGGGGTCGCGGGAACAGCTCCTGGGTCCCTGTGCCTTCAGCAGCCCTTCCCCCACTCACAGCAGGCACCTCACCCCATCCCGGAAGCAGACCCATCCACCAAAAATCAACTCACTGAGTGACCAGTCGGCCCTCCCGGTTTTGAGCCTCTTCTAAGTTTTCATTCCACCGCGGCTTTTTCACAGCCACGTAGTTGTCAGTGCAGTTTGCTTCAAATGTCAATTTTGTGTGTGTTTCACATTTTAGACCCCAGCACTTCGGAAGGCTCCATGCAAATGGCTTCACTTTTTCTATTTTTGAGGACTGATGCCTGGTGCCTGCCTCTATTTGTGAGGACGTAGGCCAATTCAAATGGCTGTGGTCAGCTGCCTCCGACCCCAGTTTAACACGGTGGTTCAGAGTGTTCTCAGCAAAATAAATCATTTGGGGAACTGTCATTCAAGCACACTGCGCTAGAACCACAGGAGACCCCCGAGACAGCCGCCAAAGATTTCCAGGGCAAGGGACATTTCTCAGAATGGCCTCCAGAGCAGACAAAAAGGGACAGGCAAAAAGGCAAATGGCTCACAGGATTCTCTCTCCAATACATCGTCAATCCCCCTAACAAAATAAGAGTGTGACTGGATTTTTGTTTGTTTGTTTTTAAAGTAAGCTTTATGCCCAACGTGGGGCTTGAACTCACTACCCTGAGCAAGAGGCACATATTCCACTGCCTGAGCCAGCCAGGCACCCCTGTGACTGGAATCTTGAACCTCTTTCACTTTTACTCTTTTTTCTTTCTTTTTTTAATGTTTATTTATTTTATTTATTTATTTATTTAATTTTTTTATTTTATTACTTAATTTTATTTTATTTATTTTTGAGGGAGACCCAGAGCACGAGCAGGGCAGAAAAAGAGGGAGACACAGAATCCGAAGCAGGCTCCAGGCTCCGAGCTGTCTGCCCAGAGCCGGACACGGGGCTCGAACTCACAGACCGCGAGATCATGCCCTGAATGGAAGTCAGACGCTTAACTGCATAACCCACTGAGCCACCCAGGCGCCCTCACTCTAACTCTTTATGTATTATTCGTTTCTCTCAGCTTCAGAAGGTCAAGGTTTCCTGAGCCACCTTCTGGCCCCCTTACCTTTTCAACCCTTCATTATCACCCCACCAACATCACAGAATTACAAACTCCAGGAAGCTTTCCCTCCTGGATAGGTTAATACTTTGCCACAATGGCCCTGCCTCCCTCCCCGCACAGGACAGCACAGGACAGCACAGGAGGAGACCCCCTCTTACCTGGAGGCCGGGAGCCTCGCCTACCTGGGCGGGGCAGGGAGAAGCTGAAGGCTCGGTGATGGGTGTGTGTGGGCGAGGGCGAGGGCGCAGGCCCCTCCAGACTCACGCTCTGGGCCCGGCGCCGGCACTCAACGGACAGACGGTCTCTACATTGCTTGTGGCAGTTCACACCGCAGGCTGGGAGAGGCAGATGGGGAGCCCAGCCAGGGCCCTGGGTCAGAACGCTCTCCGGCCCCTTCCCTAGGCCTGCACCTCTCCCCAGTTTCCTGTGCTCCTGAGCAGCTGCCCCACCAAAATACGACTCTCCTTCCAAAGTGCTTCATCCTGCTCGCCAATCCACACCCTCCGCCAAGTCCTCGGTGCCCGGGCAGCTGTCTCACCACAATAAAAGCCCACTTAAAGGCTACCCCCTTCAATATAATCAGCACGCCCCTCTGGCTCCAGGGTACCTCACTCCTCCTCGGTTGCCCCGCCAAAATTAGAATCCCCGCCCAGAGAGTAGCTCTTCCCCTCCAAATTCAGCCCTCCGGCCCTGCTCACCTCGGCATTTGAGGCCCTGCTTGTAGATGCCCAGGATCTGAAATAGAGGAGGGGGCTGTGCTGGGGGAGAGGGCTTGAGAGGTAATGATTTCACCTCTTCTTTCTCAAGGGCGGGGACTGGGACTGACCCACTCTGGGGCTTTAGAGCCCCTCAGGCCAACGCAGGCGCAGAACGGCCAGAGAGGCAGGCGGAATTGACAAGGTTCGCCTCTGCTGCGAGGCCTCCAGCAGGGGCGGGGCCGGAGGGTGGGCGGGGCGAGCGGAGGGGCCAGGGCTGGAGGGGTGTGGCTTGGTGGGGGTCTCACCAGGGCCTTGCAGTGGCGGCAGGCAACCGGGCGCAAGGAGTTGCTCTCGTGGAAGTTGTGCACGAAGCCCATGCGGCCGCCCAGCACCGAGCTGGAGCGCAGGAAGTAGGACACCATTTCCTCCCTGCTGATGCAGCCATCCCTGCGGGGGGGCGGGGTGGGAGAGGGAGCGCCTCAGGTCGGGGCCCTCCCCCGGGACCAGCCACCCACCAGCCTAACCCATCCCACTGGCAACTTCCCTACCAAGGAAAAGATCCTCACCCAACTCCTGGTTTTAGATTTCCTGGTGCCGGAAAGAGAGGCCTAGACTTGGGAGCCAGGCGGAAGCACCAGCCGCTACTACTTGTGTGGTCTTGGGCAAGTCACTTCCCCTGGGTTTCCTTCCCAGAGAAATGGGGATCATAACTCCTGCCGGGGTCACTTCACAGCGTTGGCATGTAAACTAACTAGAATTTCCCACGAGATTATCAGCCTTTGTTGCCCAAAGTGAGCTCTTTGGAACACCCGTTGGGAGCCCTGAGATTCGAGAGACTTCTGCTGAGCTCTGGGACCAGGCAAGATTGGGAAAAGCCGCCTGCATCGGACTCGCATGCGGGCGAGTGCTGGAAAGACACCTGCAATCAGGATTCCCCACATAACCCAGGGGTTCCCACAGAACCCTTTTCTCACCTATTAACGTATTTTAGGAAAAGAGCATGTGCTCTGGAGACAGACCTCCGTTCAAATTCTGGCTTGGCTACTTCCTGGCTGTGTGACCTTTGGGCTCATTAATCTCCCTGTGCCTCAGTTTCTTCTTCTATAAACGGGGACAGTGATGATTCCTGCCCCTCGTGGGTTTGTGTGAGGACTGAATGAGGGCACATGAAGCATTTATAACAGTGTCTGTGTAGTTGGTAGGTCCTGGGCCACGCGGAGCTATTTCTGTCAGTGTTCATCCTTGTTGGAAACTCCTGACTATTATTATATCTGGGGCTCCATGATGTGGTCCAGGTGATCCTTCAATTCAGTGGGGCATTGGGACAGCTGGCCATTTAGAAAAAATATATACATCACCCTAGATTCTTACCGCACGCTGTGCCTGGACACTACGTTCTCACTGAACTGAGACCACTGATGTAAAAACCAAAATCATGGAAGTATCTGGAAAGGTGTAAGAGGATACCTTTGGAATTTCAAGGAGATGAGGGCCTTTCTAGACATAACACAAATCCAAGAAGTCATAAAGGAAAAGACGGACATATTGAACACGCGACACTTTTTAAAAATTTTATATGGAAACGGACAACATAAACGACAGACTGAAAGAAAATATTTGCAAACATATTCGACAGCAAAGAGTTAACATCCATTAACAGAGATTCTGAAAATCAATGAGAAAAAAAAGACCCACAAACCCAGTGGAATAATGGACAAAGAATATGAACAAGCAATTAACAGAAGGAATATAAGGGACCAATAAACATATGAAAAGAGATCCTACCCCCGCTAATATTAAAGAGATTCAAATTTAACCAAGACACCATTTGCCAATTAGACTGACAAAATTGTAAAGCTTATTATAGCGTCCAGTGTTGGCAAGGAAGTTGGGAGATGGGCACTCACTCACTGCTGATGGGGGTGCAGGCTGGCACAACCTTGCCTGAGGTCACTTTGGCAGGCTCTCTCCTAATTTAGAATGTGCATATCTTTTGATCCAATTATCCCACTTCTAGGAATTTCACCTACAGAAATAGTGGCCTGGGTGCATTGGTACAAAGATGTTCACAGCAGCATGGCGTATATTAACAGCGGAAAACTGGGGACAGTCTACATGTCTGTCATGATAATGACAGCGGGACACTCTACAGCTATTCTAAAGAATGAGGTCGTTCTGCATGAAGCTGGCGTGGAAAGATGTCCGTGATAGAGGGTTACGTGGAAAACAAAAACAAAAGCAAAAAAGCGAGATGTGCAGTTCCATCAAGAAAGTGATAATAAATAAATAAATAAACAAACAAACAAACAAACCCATCACCACCACCACCAACAACAAAAAACCCTGCAAACCCTGCTGCTACAAATACAAATACTAGATCCCGGTTAAAATATACCAAAATTTGCTTTAAATGCATAGGTGAGTTTGTGGGAAAGAAATGGGCATCCTCACATTCCAGAAACAGAGAGCGAGTGTCAAGCTGAGGCAGGGAGTTGGGACCAAGGCTGAGGCTGCCCTAGGAGGGGGTTGCTGGTCTCCCTAGTGAGCCAGGTGCTGGATTTTGGTGCCCAGATGGGCTGGGCACAAGGCTTGGGGTGTGCAGGAGGTGGGAAGTCGAGGCTGAGACCCCCGCGCGAAGCTGTATCTAAGGTCTCCAACAGCGAGCGGCACCCTCACTAAAAGTGTGACCTGGAAAAAATCCACCCACCAACCCAGGGACATAACCTAGAATTCTGTCTCAGTTCTGGGAGCAGAAACAAAGCAACTGTAACCAGCCCCGTGGGCAGAGCTAGATTTATACCACAATCCTATTTGTCCATGGAACAGGCACAAACAAAATCTGTAGCAATTTGCACATGCAGGGAGGGGAAGAAAAAAAAAAAAAGACTGGAAGGACACACTGTTGCCAAGCCAGTGGCATTGCAAACATGTTACTAATAATATAGCCTCTTCTGATGGGAAAAGATGGGAGGAGGAACGTAACTTTGGCGTCTCACTTCATACGCTTTCTTCACTGTAAATCTGTTTTACTACCTGGATTTCTTTTTTACCATGGGGCTCCGCAATATGGAAAAAAAAAAAAAAGCCCAGATTTTTGAAATATGAATAGCATTAAAAATATAAGTCGACCTGACATGGGGCTGTAAATTGCGACTGGAGTTTTTTGTCTGCTCAGCAAAACAGGGATATGAACATGGTTGCAGAGGGCATGTTTAACCTACTTCAGAGAATCAGCTGTTTGTCCAAATTGTCAGTATGTGAATTGTTGATAAGCAAGTGGGTGCTGCTAATTACAGGCCTTTCTTTTCTATTCATTAAAACAGGCTACCCAGGAGTTGAACTTGCCCACACTTTTTGCCAGCTGTGAGCTCCACAAATAAAGCGGCATGTATGTAGCAACAGTCCCCAGGCCACAGTCTTTGCAAGATTCAGGTGGGGCCCCCGCATCTGTCTGAATGAGTGGGGTAACCCTGTGCTGCCACAGCTGGAAGCCTCCCCCTCCAGTACGAGCCCCTCCCCACATTGGTGGCTTCCTCGGCCGCCGCGATCATCTGGTTCAGTGGCCTCCTCTTGCACAGGAGGAAGCTGAAACCCGGGGGGGAAGTGAGCCTGCCTTCCCTCTCCCCCAGCCCCCAGCCCTCCTCACTGGTTCTGGTCGAGGTCCCCAAAGGCGCTGAGGTAAGGGAAGTTCCCACGGATGATCTGGAACTCTTCCTGTGAGATGTGGCCGTCCCCATCGACGTCAAAGTTCCGGAACACAGACTGAAGTGCACGGAGGGACACGCGGGGGACAGGAGGACAGGAGAACGAAACAGGCGTCAGTCCCGTCCTGTCCACAGGCCCCGTCCATGTTATGAAGGGTGCTCAGGCGTGGGCGCCTCTGCAGCTCCCCTTTCTCTCTCCCTTCACTGTACCCCCCCAACCCCCCCCCACTGGCTCCGCCCCTTGCCTGCTGGAGCCTGAGCCCTGGCCCTGGAACGAGGCGCCAGTGTGGCTCCGAGGGTGGTGGCCAGGCAAAATCGTTCTCGATGGACCGCTCCGGACCTGTCCCCCGACCCCTCAGGTTGCAGGGCTGGCTGCCACAGAGTCTCACCTCCACCATCTTCTCGATGTGTTCCACTAGGAGTGCTTGATCCAGCCTGGGTTTGGCGGCTGAGGTCCACTCATCCAGCACCGGGGGCCGGGGAGGTGGGGTGCAGCTTGTGGGGCTGGTTGGCTGTGGGGATGGTCAGGCCTGAGTGAAGGCCAGAGGTGAGGGAGTCCAGGGCCCGGAGTGGGGGGCGGGGGGCAGGCAGGAAAGCCCTGGGGAGAAGGGAGCCCGCCCAACAAGCTGGACAGGGGAGGTAGCCTCTGTCCTGGGATTTTCAGGAAGGGCAGAGATGGGGGAGAAAGAGGTGGGGGAGAGTGGGGAGGCAGGGATTCCCTGTCTCACCGAGGACTTCGAGCGAGGCTCCCGCTGCAGGGACAGCTGGTAGAGTTCATCCTCCGTCTGATACTGATCCAGAGATACCTAAGACACACAGGTCTGATCACACCCCCTGCCCCTGCTGCCCTCAGGAGCCCGCTGTCCAGAGCCCAGGGTCATAGGTCCACTTAGAGGCCACGGCTCGGCCTGGAACCCAGCCCAGAAGCTAGACTCGGGACAAAGGCCACCTTTGAACACACCCCAGTGACCACACACCAGCCTAGCGCACAGAGGAGACCCCGCAGCTTGGCCCCAAATCTTGGGCACAACGCGCCTCCAAGAATCCAGCCAAGAATCCAGGTCAGAACACAACCAAGAGCTCTGAAATTAAGCCCCGACCTAGAACCCAACCCCACATCAAGAATCCAGCTCAGATTTCAATCCTGATCCCAGTCCAGAGGCTAGAAACCGTTAAGAATTCACTCTAAACCCAAAACTCCAGGGGCGCCTGGGTGGCTCAGTCGGTTAAGTGTCTGACTTC